TTCAGGCCCATGGGGAGTGGGGGGCAAGGGCCACCATTTTTCTCAACCATCCGACACTGGAGGTGCAGGTGATGTGGTCAACATCACACTCTGGCCGGCCTGTTTCCCCCAGAAGGATTAACCCCTGGGACTTTTAAGCAGGCTGTGTGGACCTGGAAGGAATTAGAGCAAGCTCCATCACTTGCCCCTACCTGGGATTGAACCCGGGACCTTGGAATAAGGAGCTAGACGCCCTTGCCATCTGGGCTACCACCGCTCCCCACCACCAAATAAGCTCTTGAAAAGCAATGCAACACATCGATCGCTTCAAGATTCCAAATCTGCACAGCCCCATAAGCCCAGCTCAGTGCTAGAGTGATGCGCTTTCAGCTTTCTGCACTCTAGTTTCCCCTGCAGTCAAATACCTGAGAAATCTGTGGATACTGGCACTTTTGCAAGATCTGGAGAACTTTTCCCAAAGTTATCCCAAGGATAAGACAAGGGATTGCTGCCACCGAAACACCAATGGGATGAAAAGGGCAGAAACACAAACATTACATGGACAAAATGGCGGAGTTATGTTTAAATCAACACTCAGAGACATGACAAGCGAATGTTATATGAAGAGAAAACCACAGGCATAAATAAGCACTGACAGAGAAGGGCAGGTGACCTGTCAGCTGTTGATTTATACTGTCTGAGAAGCACCAGCCAGCCTTCTGAATCTGTTCCGAGGTCTCCTGCAGTGTTACACGGCTTGTCACAATCAGGCCCCCTTCACTTGCGTTGTTAAAAAATGAACTTTGCCATTTCAACATGACACGGCCCATTAAAAAAAGCAGGCTTTGTTATGTACTGCCAGATCGATACCCCATCAATATTCCACACTCACTAGCCCTCATATCAATCAAAAGCTGCAGGTTTAATGTATTTGCAGGTTCCTTAATCAATTCTGCGCGCTCTGATCTGACCAGAATGCTCCAGTGATAGATGGGAGAGCTGCAATCCGCCTGTCCTGAACCTGCCAATAAGCCTGCCTAGCCGGCCATCATAAATCTTTGATCTTTCAGGAAAGAGGCCTGGGGTGGAGGCGACCCAGCCCAGTTTCAGCCTCCCCCTGCACACCGCTGAGCACTGACTGACGACTGTTGGCCACTTCAGAAGGTGTTTTGCTCTTCAGAAGACAAGAAGCAGAGCAAGCACTGTAGTTTTTCAGTCCGTGGCTCCTACCACTTTACAGAAGATCCTTCAGAGTATTACAGATCACACTGTGTGGCTGATGTTCAGCCACACAGCTGTCTAGAGTAACCTTCCTGGAAAGGTCAAAGGTTCTTAATAATGTAATAATAATTTCTTACACTTACAAAGCATTCTTCTGGACACTCCACTCAAAGCGCTTTATAGGTAATGGGGATCCCCTCCACCAGCACCAGTGTGCAGCCCCACCTGGATGATGCGCCAGTCCTCTCCCCACACACCAGCTCTCAGTGGGGAGGAGAGCAGAGTGATGAAGCCAGTTCATAGTTGGGGATTATTTGGAGGCCATGACTGGTAAAGGCCAGGGGGAAATGTGGCCAGGACACCAGGGTTGCACCCCTACTCTTTTCAAGAAACACCCTGGGATTTTTAATGACCACGGAGAGTCAGGACCTCGGTTTTACGACTCATACGAAGGACGGCGCCTCTTTACAATATGTTGTCCCCGTCACTATACTGGGGCATTAGGACCCACATGGACCGATGGGGTGAGCGCCCCTTACTGGCCCCACTAACACCTTTTCCAGCAGCAACTTGAGATGCATGCTGGTGCAGACTGGGTGTGCACATTGTAAAAGCAGGAAAAACAGCGGAGAAATCCACAACACTTGGGCACTGGTGAACTGGACTACTCTTCTCAGGTGACAGGTGCATCTCAGTGTGTGACACGGAGGCACTGTTACTGGAGAAAAGAACTGCATGCCATGTTAGGAAACTGCCTACAGCCTGTAAATGTGCACAAGCATACCAGGGCACATATAGCTTTGACAACCCTCGCAAAGCTCTATGATGACTAACCTGAGAATGTTACTGCATGTTTTTTTTAAATCTTTCCACGATTTCTGATCTTCCTTAATTTCTTTGACTTCCACAGAGGCCTGGAGAAATTAGCCAGCGCATAGCGGACACCCAGCAACACCCCTTGATTAAATTCAACACTGGCTTTGCCAGGCTGGGCAGCTGCATCACTGAGATTTTCCAGAAACAACTGAAAGACCAGACGTACATACAGTGCAGCATTTACAAATAATCAAACCCAATTGAACGCATCTGGATTCCTTGAGCCTGAGAAAATGGATGTTAGAGGTCCGTTTTTAAAGTATTTTTTCTTTTTAGTATTTCATGCACCGGTAACACAGCTCAGGCAACACTAATATGAACTGCACAAGACCTTTACAAGGTCTTCCTTCCTTAAAAGCCAGATAACTTGTTCAGCTAAGATGAAAGGCGGAGAAAGCCAAATAATAGCTACAGGTATTATTTTTTTTCCTGAAGAAAACAACCTGCAACAAGCTCCAAATGTCTGAGAAAACAGACAGAAAACTTCTGTCAGTAATCTGGAAAATACTATTCTGGAATAGTTAAGCACCGTAAAAAGGTCTAGTAAAGATTTTCTAAGATGGAAAATGTTACTTTCGTGTTCTCTATTTCACTCAGGCACCAATTTAATGATCCAGTGATAATGACCACCTGTGTATGTGCTGTATTTTAAGTTCTTGTTTATTTCCCTTCTTAAGATCAATTTATTAGCCATATACAATTTCTTGCATTAGGCTTACAGACAGGGAGAGAAGCTGGGGGTCAGAGCGCAGGGTCAGCCATTTATACGGTGCCCCTGGAGCAGCTGGGGTTAAGGGCCTTGCTCAGGGGCCCAACGGAGTAGGATTCCTCTGCCGGCCCCTGGATACGAACCGGCAACCTCCCAGCCACAGGCACAGATCCTGAGCCACAGTGCCACCACATCCCCCCTTGTGGTGAGGTATGAGAAGAGTTAATACCATGAGCTACATTATCCATAAAACAAGGACAAGTAATCAAGGTGGGGGGTGGAGTTGACACACTTCCCATGTCAATTTTCCACAGGGGCTTCCCGAGACATTGATTGAGCAAGGAGATACCCAGCCTGTGGGCTATCAGCCCTGGGCCACTACAGGACGTCACTCAAGGTATTAATACCTCTCCACCTTCATTAGAGTTCCAAGCGCCATTTGTATAAATCACGTAACTGGCAGGGCAAAAAAAAAAAAGAAAGAAGATTATTAATTCACCTGCCGTGTGTGTCGTCGTGAGCAGGTCTGGAGTTACTACACATTTAGCTGCTGGAAACATAAAAGATTCAGGAAATAACTCGAACATTTCCATAGGTATGCAATATTTTCTGGAAGGGGAATACTATGGTTATAGCTTATGTACTTTCACAAAAAGTTATAATTTTGTTTTAAGCCCTCTGACCAGCAATACAGCTTGTGCGGTGAGGCATTGCAACTTGCCAATCACACGAAAGCTCGTTAGGTGCACTTTTATCGAACTAGGTCCAGGTGGAACAATGACTGATCAGGTCACCTAAAAAAGCCCTTAATTCAAAGCTTGGGTCACTGCAAGAAAAAGGCCACACTTCGTCAGTTTTCTGTGCATTCCAGAATGCTTCGAATGTCACCAGAAGCAAAGGAGAGGGCCATTGGCATGCTGCAGGCAGGCATGTCATGTGCCAGTGTTGCCAGACACTATGGAGTGAGCCGCTCCACTGTGTCCCGACTGCAGAGAAGGTTTCAGCAGACCGGCAGGACAGATGACCGTCCAAGATCCAGTCGCCCTCGAGTGACCACACCAGAGCAGGACCGACACATCAGACCGGTCCACCTGAGAGATCGTTTCAGATCTGCCACCCGTCCTGCTGCTGAAATTGCCAGGAGACTGCTGATGCCTGCATCAGTGACAGGACAGTGAGGCTCCATGCTGCTGGCCTCAGAGCAAGGCGACCTGTGTGCTCACACCTCCTAGACGTCGCACCCGACTGGCTTGGGCCAGACAGAGGCTGCGATGGACTCGTCAGCAGTGGCATCAGGTCCTCTTCACCGATGAGTCACTCTTCAGCCTGATCCACGCAGACGGGAGGGCCAGAGTGTGGAGGAGGAGGTGTTGCGTTTCTTTTTTCCCCATCAGCATATTTCTCTCAGGTGAGTCAGCTTTCAGATGGTACAAGATGCATTACATATATTTAAATAGAACCTGCACAATGGAAAAATATTGATCATTTTCTGGTATTATGGCAGCTGCTAACTATTCAAATTCTATGACACATTTTTACTGGCAATCTGCTACCTTACCATCTTGCAGCTCCAGGTCTGATCAATGGAGTTAAACAACCCGTTCCAGTAAATGAACTGTTTTAAATGTAAAACGTTGATTAGGAGCATTCAATTGGCCCCAATACCTATCAGAAGCCAAACTGAAGAGCCCCCAGAGGTAAGAGTAATGGGCATCCTTATATATACACACACAGATCATTCAAGACCTCTTTCCTGAAATATCAAGCCCACAAAACAATCAAGACCCCTTTTCTGAAGTAACTCAAGCACACAGAACAATCAAGATCCCATTCATGAAGTATCATGCATACAGAACAATCATGATCCCTTCCTGTAGTATCTCAAGCACACAGAATGATCAAGATCCCTTTCCTGTAGTATTTCAAGCTCATAGAACAATCAAGATCTCTTTTCCCAGACATAAGGAACAGGGCACTGGGAACAGGAAGTGGTGAAAGGTATCTGACGTTGGGCTGAGGGATTCCATTTAGGTGTTGACCAGGAGCCCGTTCAATTATGGTCACCTTGGACTGCACCTGAGCTGTGAAAATGATTGTTCACAACAAATCATCATCATACATCACAATGAACTTGCACACCCCCATTGATGGGAGGCATCAATGTCAGTCAAAACCCAGCCCCAGGCGATCCAGGAACATGAAAGAGAGCAGAGCATTGAGTTGCTACGGTCACTTTATTTCACCTCAGCACAGGTACAGTCTGTGTATATATATAAATATAACCTTGTTACTGAGAGAGACTTCTTTCAGCTAGTCCACAGATGGACAGTGAACCACGTGATCAAAAATGCAACAGATCTACACAACACAAGAATGAACAATTACAATGTTTTTATAAAACCTACCTACACCTACCTACCCTCTACTTTAAAAAGGAACACACGCTGAGATGGCAGATGGAAATATGAGCACCGACAAACACTCAACACTGGTACCCACTGCTTAGCCATAGTGTTATGGACTTCACATAACAGACAGAGAAAAACAGGATTCACATCGCAGGAGGGAATGCTCCACAGCCACAGCACGGCCACCAGCACACACCCCAGCTGCTTCAGGACTGATTCTGTTTTTTATATTGCACCGGGGAAGTTGAACAAGAACAAATTCTCATTTCCAGCGACCTTCTCGGAAACCTGACATCACGGCAGCGCATTTCGAGGAGAAGCCTGAGTCCAGTATCCTACTCAAGGATACAACAGCAGTGTCTCGCCCAAGATTCGGGCCCTCAACCCTTCAGTCAGTCTGAAGCCCGGCTCCCCAGTCCTCACTGCTGGCTTGTGGAGAAAGGGACTGCACACATTTCTTTGACAACTTCACTGGGTTTACTGGAAGTATTTCAGAATACAGCCGAGGGAAAGACGCCCAGCTTATCCCAGATGAAATTGAGTGAAACCTGCTGTTTCACCTTTGTGAAAAAGGGTTGAACTTCTCACCTCGCGTCAGGTGAGTAAGTTTATTTGTTCTCACAGATTGCCGATCTATTGGTACAATTTTTTCCCCCATCTGTTCTCCGATTTAAAAGCCTTAATCGTCTCTGGGACACTCATTCTAAATCACTTCCAGGGAACACCCCAACAGACAGAGAACGAATACATTTCCGCAGAACTAATTTTAGAGATCCGAGTTCGAGAAATTTGCTGAGGCACGTTTCCCTGAACGCAAAACCGCCGCGTTCAGAAAACGCAAGTATTCGACAGAAGATATATAGAACAGCCCTGACCGGACTTTTCCTAGGACACAAAAAGAAAAGTTAGTTTGTTCCTTTGCATAAAGATTCAAGTCCACGGACAGGTGAAAAATAAGACAGCACTGTGACAAAACATGAAATAAAAACAACTCTAAAAAGCCCCTGTGGACAGAGAATAGAGACTTGCAGTAAACTGTTCTTCATGGAGAATGATCATGTTTAAAGCTTTAGCCACAAAATCCCAGAAGTCATTTTGTCAGAAAAGCCAGAGAGAGCAGAGAAGTTCACTGGCCCTCACAGATGTAGTTAATCACAACTTCAGCCGGGCTGTATCAGTCACTGGGACAGACACACAGGCCTTGGTTGGTTATACTACATAAGAAGACAGCAGCAAGAAATCGACAACCACGAGACAGCTTTCCAAGCACTGCTATGGCTCCAAACTGGAAGGACAAAACCAGGACGGACTGACTTGATTTTAAAGGATAGATCCCAGAATGGACTCTCCCTGGGAACTGCTTACAGACTCACGTCTACAGATGCATTATCACTGGAAGCTGCAAGTCCTGCCTTCTGACTGCACAGATGCAAGCCTGTCAGTGTGTTTCTGTGAGCTGCGTACAAGCTAGGGACTCGTTCTCACGTTCAGGTTTTTACAGACTGAGAGCGTATGTGTTCCACCCCCGTTGCAGTTACACATCATGCAAAAAGCTTTGGTTGGCAGTTGCAATGAGCTGCAAGACCTTAAGCACAATGAATTACTATAGAAAGTTCAAAAAGATCTTCTTTCCATGCCTTTTAAACAAAAATAATGCAATTCCTAAAGACTAAAAAACTGTTTTTACAGCTTGCTCATAAGAACACCACTGTAGCATGCAATCTTCTGTACCTCTGTACTTCACAACTTGAAGACTCCTGAGGACCTTGGTGTGATTTGCTCTCAGTAGTATTTCGTACACAGTATCACCTGCAGTACCTGCACAACACTCCTTTAAAAGCACAAAGGTAAAAAGATTTTTAAAGTCTGCTTCCCTGTTGCCTTGGCATCTTTGATTTTCCTGACAGGCTCATTCACGAATGAGCCATTCGATCGATGGCTCTCTGCTCACTGCCCAGTGCCCAGTGCCCGCAGTGCCCCAGAGGATTCAAGTGTAGACTGGTATATTGCAAAAATGTGACGGAAGATTTTTATTTAAGGGTACTATGCTATTTTCCAAACTAAGATACAGGTCTTGTGATTTTATTTTGAATACACTGGATTAGGTCACCTGACATATTGCCACACTAAAGTTTCACAATATCTGCAGTTTCCCTTGGCTTTTCTATATTCTTATACCATTCATTGACCTTACAATATCTTACATTTCCTTGTGTTCTGTACGACCCTCTATCCTGCTGCTCCATGCTTCAACCACAATTTCCCTCTGCTTTACTCTGTTTTTACCGCATGGCTGCTCTTTGGCATCTTCGTTCTAAAGCATGACCCCGCCTGGCACCCACTGCAGCGCAGGCCTGCTGCTCTGGGACACAGCTCTGCTCTCAGTCTGGCACAACGACACGAGACTGGAGGACTGGCACCTGAGCAGGGCTCTCCTTTGCCACCCCGAGGACGGATATTTGAAGCCGACGCAACCTGACGGACTTTGGTTTGGACTTCTGCGCTCCAGAGACGGCAGCAGTCCAGCAGCCTCTGTTGAGGAGGCTCCTTAATGCACCTGTCATCTGCAGGCAGGTTCTGGGAATTCCCTGGGAACGAGAAATGCAGCCGGGAGCCCCGCATTACAAAACCCTGAGGTTTACACACCCCTCAAACGGCTTACAAGAGGAGGAAAACGCTTTTGCACAGCGTGCCCCACGATTCCTCAAATATACATGCGATGATGGGAGAACACATTTTGTTTAACAAAATCCAGCTCATGAGCAAGGACTCTGATGGGGCCCAATTGGTTTGGATTTGTCTTGTTGTGTGCACTCAGAAACCCACCTCAACAATGCCAGCTGAGGACTGGACTGAGGAAAAGAGCTCCTAACATACTGGGAACTGGGGTCACCATTCTGTCCCTGCTCTTCTCATCAGCCCCCGAGCAGTCTTGCTCCCTTAGCTGACAGAGGAGGCTGGGTTGAGGAAATCGGAAGGCAGGGAGAGGCTTTACTGCGGTGCTATGGCGGACTCTGTGTGGCTGTGGTATGATATAGATAAGAACTGTATGGCCTTATCGGCAATCTCTCTTTAAATTAACAGTGTCACCCGTGCGTGCTTCTTCTCCAGAACACAGTACGCCGAAGTGTCTCCGAAAAATGCGAACCATTCATTTACAATAAAAAACAATTAAAAAGGAATGCATATGTACAAATGACGCCATGTGTTGCCATGGTGCCAGACCCAACCAGATCTTCCCTCCTGGGCAGACCTCCTGCCGGCTGAATCCTGCGCCCGGATGATTTGAACCACCGGGTTTAAAACTGTCCCGCGAGTGAAGGTCCGATGGGATGGAACAGTTCCTCCTGAGAATAGCGGTTCAGAAGTTCTGCAGTACGGGCAGGTTCTTGTAGAGATCCAAAGAGGCCGGGTTCGAGAACGCTCCTATCTGGGTCACTTCCTTCCCGGCGATCACCTGCTTGACCGCGACTTCCACCTTCTTCCCGCTTATTGTGTACTAGAACGACACACAGAAAACACAACACAGTTTGAGCCTGATCCAGGTCTGAACAACGCAGGTGAACTGCATTTACAGCACATACAGTGGCACTCCTCCCGGAGGATCTCACAGCACTGCTCTTGGTGGAGGGGACCCACTTCATCCTCCACTGAAGATCAACCACCCGTCTAGGTGATGTTGGGCGGCCATTCTGCCCCTGCAGCCCCACTACACAGCAGATCAGGGGGAGGAGAGAGAAACTGCTTCTCCAGCTGGATGGAGGGGGGAGTGGAACTTTGCCAGAACGCCGGGCCCAACTCTCCTACACTTCCGAACAGTCGTGAGATCTTTCAGGATCAAGAGGTAGACCTCTGTTTGATGTCTCACCCCCAAGGGCTGAACCTCCAGACACAGCGATCGGGCCCTCTGACTGCCCACACTGCCTGGCCTTGTCGCTTGTGCAGCTGCGATGTTTGTGCCATCGCTCACGAGAAGGAGCTCGAACGGCTCACCTACAGAACTGCATCACCAAGCAGCTCCGCCTGATCATCGGGATGGGCTCCAGGATTTTCGGGTATGCCCGCCTGCTGCTGCCGTTCATCTCAACGCCCTGCCTCACCCTGCGCTGTGCCCGGTTACTATTCAGTCTGTGCCCTGTCACCCTGTCTCACTTTTTACTGACAACCGATAATTACCTCTAGATACAATTAGGAGGGCCCTTTGTTCCTCAGACACGTTCCTATAAAAACAGGCTAATTGCAAGGCAAGTGGAAAGGTCCCAGGTAGGCTGGCAGCGTTTTCAGAAATTGGGAATCTGTACATTTCTCCTCTAGGTTGATTTAAGCACCCTGGTGTCTGTCTGTTCTTATAGTGGCCCTGTATCTTTGCAGAGTCTCAGATACTGTGAAATGAAACAGCTTCTTTCCTTGTTAATTTGACAAAACTGCACCATCTCACATTGCTTCCACTCCTCTGGGCTAGGACTGTTAAAAGCGAAATGAACAGCAGAATATTAACTCGGAGCTTCAAAAACAGAAACATCTTAATGCTACTGAAGAGAGGAAAAGGCTTCATTGTAACACTGTGCTCTTTTATCCCCGAAACTGGATAATTATTTAAGTCATTATGGAGACTCCCAGAGACACAGACTGCAAAAACATACAATATTATTATGAGACAGAATCAGAATATCATGTTTTCACTTGAATGTTTTCTGTCCGTAACGGTTACTGGAGCAAACAGTAAAATCTTTCATATAATACTTCACCAAGAAGGAAACATTAAAAATACTGTACAGTGTATACATTCTTTTTTCCTCTCTCACCGTTTCATTCCTTGTCAGCGTACCAAATTGCCGATCCATTTAGAACATTATCGTGTTCAACAACTGAAAGTCACACACATGGAAAAAAAAATTGGCACACACACACACAAATTCCTTGATCATTTCCGAAGTGCTATGTGCCTCAGCTCTGTGAAAGCTGTTTTTCTCTGCATGCTGTTCACACAGTTTGGGCTCAACCGGAGGTGTCTGAGAAACACGGCCACCTTTTCTCAGGTGCCATGAGCACAGAGCCACACATGTTTCAAAAACAGAGTGGGGCTAGGGCTATCTCTGAGTATTACAGCATGCCACGATGTTCGAAAATGTTCGTTTTATTTGGATGCTACCATAATCATCCAAATACTAATCAAATGTCAAAACCAAAACTAAAAAGCTCAAGCCTGAGGAATAAATGAAAATGAATCAGTTTTTACCACTGGAATTGTTGCTGGGCAGGAAAGTGAGCACATTTTCATTTTCTAGCTCTGCTCTTGGCCAGAGACAAAACCAAAATGGTGCCTTCACACAAATATTTAGAGTAGTGTTTCTCAATCTTTTACTTCCTTCACGCTCACATAAATATAAAAAAAATATCGCGACACACTGCCCTGAGCATATTACTGATGATGGTGAAACAGTGAACGAGCAGCACAGTGGTTCACGTTGCTGCCTCACAGCGCCGAGGCTCTGGATTCAGTTCTGGACCTGGGGTGCTGTCTGTGTGGAGTTTGCATGTTGTCCCCATGTTTGCGTGGGTTTCCTGTCACAGTCCAAAGACATAGCGGTAGGTGAATTGGCTTCTGGGAAAACTTCTGGCCAGTTTTCCCAGAAGCCAGTTCTGGCTTCTGACACTGGTGTGAGTGTGTGTGTGTCTGTGTTTGTGTGTGCGTGCCCTGTGACAGACTGACATCTTGTCCAGGGTGTACCCTGCCTTGTGCCCTTTTCTTGCTGGAAAAGATTCCAGCTCCTCTGCAACCCTCACGAGCTCTGAAATCAATCATTTCGGGGAAGGTCTTCTAGTCTGCGTACTGAGTACTATAGTTCAGAAGTGATCACTGCAAATGTATTAGAACCTATACAAGGATATTTCCACACAATGGCACGATGGCTATTTTTGACAATGGTAATACCTGCTTTTCGATTATTCTGAGCTGTCACAGGCAACAGATGTCCTTCTCCCAAAATTTAGAATGAATCACAGATCGGGTTCTACGCTGTGAACACACTGAGAAAGGCAGGAGATGCGTCCTAACCCCTTAAATTTAAGACTGCAAAATTTGAGAGCTACTAACAATTAAACAGACGAAGAAGCTAATGTGCATGAAACCAGTCCTGGTAATGGTTTAATACCCGGACTGTGTCACTAGCAGCAATGGCACTGCCTAGGATCTGGAATGTGAGGCCAGCACTCATTCTGCTCTTTTAGGCTATATTGCACAGAGCACACCCAGCTCTCTACGCACAGAAATGAACAAGTCAGGGTGCAGAGAAGGTGATCACAGGCACGCTCCAGCAGTGCACTGTCCTCTTTCTTTATGTGCCACTGCAGTGCTCTATACTTGCCTCATCTTGTAACATCCTGCTACCCCACCCAAGCCCCGATGCACGAAAGCAACACGCAGGTTAATTTAATAAACCCCGTCAACAGCTGAGAGCACATAAGCTCCTTTTCATCAACGCGACGTGCCGCGCAAGTCATCAAGACCCCCGTCAAAAAAAACCCAAAGGGGGAAAGAGACTAGAAACAGACCCCCGATGTTAAATTGCTATTTAATTGTAATTCTACTCGTTTGGCTCGTGGCTCGTTAAGGAAACGACGTCACTGCCTTCCGAAAACTAACATTGTACCTCGACTGGCCACCATCGACCGGGCAACTTCATCAGCACACTGTATGAGAATACCCAGTGAGATGGAGAATAAGGCAAGGAATTAAAAAGGCAAAAACAGTGGTTTGTACTTAAATCCAATTACCTCATCCTCATTTCATTTCTTTCATACATTTGCCACTGAACGCTTTCCTGCTGTTGCCTGGGAAACTTCAAAGCAGACTATGAGCTGTGGTGACAGCCTCTTTTGTCTCCGATATGAGTTATCTGTGGCGTTGCTGTCCCAGCTCCATTTTCTTCTCAAGCAGAGTCAATCCCCCCACCTCCTCAGCCCATCATGTCTTTAGCGGAAGTGTAACGCATTCATTTCATTACCTAATTAGCAGAGAGGTTTGTGGATGCTCTGCTGTTAATAGCAGCCAGCTGTGTCTCAGTTAAACTGCTCAGAGGCGGACTCTCTCGTAATGACTGAGGACAGCCTCACCAAGACCTAGCTAAGCACTAGTGCTCACTGTAAGACTCCCAGCCAAACAGAATCGCTTCTGAATGACAGCTGTCTAGCCATCTAACTGTATCTTTGCTGGCTGCAGACTCAATGTCTTTGAAATAAATATTTAGTGTGGCTCTCAAAGTAACTTAAAAGCCAACGTATTAAAGCGAAAATTTTGTCATTCTTTACCAGCTGAGCATGAGGTGACTGGGTCAACCTCTCAGTGTGTCTGCAATGAGGTTGGGCAGGTTGTCGCCTCGTTTCCTGAAAGTCCGATTTTTAACTGTCATTTCTTTGGTCCAGTTTTGTGAGGCCGAACCCGTCCAGTCTACCGAATGTTCGATTACACTCCAGAGTAACAATGAAAAATTCGTTTTGTTTTCTTGGGAGGCTCCTTTTCATACCCTAGAACTGACAGTGACAGAATGACCAGTACCGGGATGACATTTTTTCAGGTAGCTCAAGAGAAAGACTGGGCAGGGCCTGTGTATCACTGGAAGCCTGTATAGGGAGGCATGAACAGAGGTGATGCGCTACATTTTAAAAATGATCACCTTCAAAAAAAGAACTTTTCTCTTTTCTTGACTGCATTTTTGCACCCCTGATATAAATACCAGCCTCCTGTGCGATCGTCCTCATCAGGCCCTGCACGGTCTCCCAGGCCCATTGTGTTCTGCTATGATATTGTTTGTTTTGTGCGTGGTGTCACACCAGACTAACTTCCCAAAATATTAGGAAATACCAGTCAGTTCAACAGGTACCCTCAGTACAAGGAGATCACTGGCTGTCTTGAGCAGAGAGAGACAGACTTAACTCACCCTCCCTGGGCAGAACAATCTCCTATCATAGTCCTGTTGGAAACTGGTGGAAATGGTAGTGTGGAATCCCACACTCCACCTTCAACTGAAGGCAAACCTTGCTGGGAGATAGAATGGGGAGGAGATTTAAAACCATTTTCACACTCATTTTTAAGATGGGAAGAGCTGAGTTAAAGGTGGAAAAGCAGCCAGATGCCTGGTACGAGGAATGAGCGAATCACATTATTTGTGCCGAGTCCAGAGGCTGGCTCTGTGATGCACGTGGGAGGGATATAAATGAGGTCCAGTTACCGGAATGTCCTGAGTCTCGAGGATGAGGGCTGGGATGTGGCGGGCAGACAGGGCCTCTCGGATGGCTTGGCGGATGTTCTTCACCAGCCCCTCGCTAAAGGTTTTGTCGGGACACATCTTCAGGAACAGAATCACCCTCTCCTCGCCGTCTTTGTTGTACTGGGGAACACAAAGGCTGTCGGACACTTCCTCAAACGCTTCGACTGCAAAAGTGAGGAGGGAGAGAGAGCGAGCGAGAGAGAAATCGGTTGTTAGTCTTTGCTCCAGACAAGACACAGGGCAGAGAAGGAAACTACATTGTCACTCTTTTTTCACCCGGGACAAATTTAGGAATACAATCCAGTGTTTAGTTCAAGCCATCTATTATAAATGGTCTAAAAACATGCTGTATACTGCAGGATTTTAATTAAACTAAACAAAGCATTTATACACTAAATGTTGCATGACTTCTATCATATAAATATATGGAAATAAATAGAAACATTTAATCAAGAAAAATAACCTGATAGATATCAATGCATTCTGTATTCTTCAATTTGTGTTTTTTCAACACCCGTTTTTTCTCTTGCTTTTTGATACTTTCTTATACTCCGTCACACTCCATCAGGGACTCAAGACAAGGTCGGTGTCACACCCGCGCAACCTCACCGATGTTGTAGATCTCCGAACTTCCGAACCGCACACCGTTGGGGTTCAGCGTGCCATCGCTGCAAACGACCAGAAGCAAGCGACAATCAAGCCGACGGTTTTAAAACCGAGGAGAGCAGAAACGCAAGACGGAGGGGAGTCTGAACATTGCGTCTGAGGCTCACCTTCTGCCGAGCATGATGACGCCTCCCGTGTGGGGGTTGATTTTGCAGTAGTCTCCATGGGCCCAAACTCCTAGGAGACACGACACAGCAGCTGTCAGAGGCTGAGCGGTCGCCGGCTCGCGCGCTGCTCTATCGTCTGTGAGGAAGTGCGCGTCTCTCCTTGAGAAGAACTCTCCCCCCCCCCACGCTTTGCTCGTAATGAAAGAGCAGCAGACTGAACATGAGGAAACAGACTCAAGGGAATTGAAAAAAGTTCCCAGCAAAACCCATTTGACTCCCACTCCTGCTGGAGACTGTCCATGGGGCTAGATTTCTGTTCCGCAGTCTGGTGACCCTGGTGTCCTTATATTTACTGCTCCGCTTCAGCAGAGAAGAGCAGGTTTGTGCTCCCGGCTTCTCCCTTGCTGATGGCCTGTGAGCCTGCGTCTCCCACACAGGCGACAGTCAAGGCCGAACCGCCTGCTGTAAAGGCAGCTCTCAGCGCCTCCTCTTTCACTTCGACAAACCGCAGAAGGATAAACCCCCTTGATTTAAAAGCTTCTAGAAAAAAAAAATCCAGCTAAACTCCAGCCCAGCAGACACACGTGTGACAAACACTCCTGACTCTCTGTGGTCATTGAAAATCCTGTCCTGGCCAAATTTCCCATTGGCCCCTACCAGTCATGGCCTCCTAATAATCCCCATCTCTGAACTGGCTTCATTACTCTGCTCTCCTCCCCACTGAGAGCTGATGTGTGGTGAGCGTTCTGGCGCACTATGGCTGCCGTCGTGTTTCTTTTTGAGAAACGCCCCCCTACTGGTCCCACTAACACCTCTTCCAGCAGCAACCAAATGTTTCCCAGGAGTCTCCCATCCAGGTACTGGCCAGGCTCACACTGCTGAGCTCCAGTGGGCTGGTGGTGGTGAGTTGCAGGGTGATATAGCTGCTGGCCAGATTAAAAGAGATTCACAAGCCTGCTAAGCTTGTCACTGGACGTTTCTCTGCCTCGTTCTGAATTGCAGAACATGGTGCTGTGCATCCCTGGAAATGTGATGTGGTGTAAATTGGATGTTTTACAAGTTATTGTGAAAATGTTGCTTTCAGTGCGGTTTGAAATGCAGTCATCAGTGCTGAAGCCCGATATCTAAAGATATTGCTGCAATTCCCCATTAAACTTGCGTCTGAAGCAAAGTTAGTTGTGCTCATGCTTTTCCAAGCTCCCCCCCATAGTGGACGCGGAAAAGCCCTTTTTTGATGTTGAGCCCTGAAGTAAAACCTCAGATACCACCAGTCAGGACGTCCCGGGGGGCAACACACAGCTGGCAGAGAGCCGCCAGGGCTTTGGGACAGACTCCAGCAGAGACCCCTGCCACTGCGTCGGGCACCGCGGGGCTGGCATTAACGGCCCCGGGACAGCAAACCGATCTTCTGATGCAGCCGAGGAAGGCAGGAGCAGAGAGAAGGGAAAGGTGGCTCACCGGGGAAGGTGGAGAAGTAGGCCTTGTGATATTTGCTCCCGTTCTCGTCGTTCCAGAAGTGTGTTGGCTGGCAGGGCATGGGCTTCAGGCACACCAGCTCGCCGCTCTCCCCCCAGACGGGCTTCCCTGGGGGGGCACAAAGAGGGCAGCGGGTTTGAGCGGCACCTGTGAGCAGTGCAGCATCCTCTTCCTCCTTCACGCGGGACCGGATGTATCTCCGAAGCCGGAAATAAAAAACTGCCGCAGCTCAGCGTTCACCTTGCCAGGCTGTTCAGTTGTTCATCTTTAGGGATGCTGAGCAAAGCAGGTGCACAGCACCCACTTACAGGTGACGTCCAAAAATTAATTTCTCTATTGTTATAACTGTCAAATTTTATGAAAAGTAAAGATTAATGTCAGATGAAAGACTGGTGCAATTGCAGTTACGCCACGCCTTTTATACTGAGGATGACATTTTTTCAGGTAGCTCAAGAGAAAGACTGGGCAGGGCCTGTGTATCACTGGAAGCCTGTATAGGGAGGCATGAACAGAGGTGATGTGCTTCCTATACTTTACCTTCGTCACTCCAGGCTTCTACCGCCATTCCCAGATTCCGGGCCTGGATCTCCCCGCGGTGCACCGGCACTGTGAAGTTCTGCCCCATGAAGCAGGAGACGATGTCCGTGCCACCTAGCGAGTCAGAAGGAAACGGCTTAGTTAAGACGCACAGCCAATTTCTTTGCTCAGGTTCGGACGTACATCATTGGGATCTACTGGGGCAGCAAAGCGCAGTGGGTAAGTCTCTTCACTTGTGAGTGGTGGGCTGTTGTTTGAGTCCCTGCTGCAGACCCTGCTCTTATGCTTTGAGTGAGGTGCTCGACCCCGGTTTCCCCCCTCTGTTTGAATGTTGACCAGCGTGGCTGATGTTCCACCCCAGTGCTCTCTGATCACCTCACTTGTAGAAACTAGGAAGAGCTCTGGCCAGATAAGCCATACGTATTGGGCTTTACTGCATTTCCTGCAGTTTGGGATAGCACAGTGGACTTTCTTTTAACAACTCTCAGTGAACTTTAGTAAGGTTAACCATACCCTCAGATAAAAACAGCACTTGAGTCATGTGTTTCGAGCCCATTTAACACAGACGCTAGGAACGGTAGGTTGAATTCAGCACTAAACTGCCAGACATTAGGGTGAAGGCCTAACATAATTACAATGCAAACACTAACAATTCAACTCCTTCAGAGGAATTCCACACCTGTTACCAAACCTCTGCACAATTGGTTTTGCACTGCTGGTGCATCGTTAAGCTGTTTTAATGACAAAAAGACATTTTTGTGCAACATACAAACCCCTTCGACTGCAGTCAGCATTAGTATGTTTTTCTGTTCTTTGACACAACAGCTTTTGTGAATTTACTAAAGACTAAAGACTAAAGACTAAAGTCAACATGAAATGAAGTGGTTGGGAAGTGGCCTGTGGCGCACCAGATCTGAGCTCAATATCTGAATGAAACAGCTGAATGTCTGGAGTTTCGGATCAGTGCTCTCTCGGGTCAAAAGTGGCCGTCCCATGACCACGCAACAGTGTAGGCCATGCTGGATCCAGACGGCTCTGGGCTGCTCGAGAACCGGTCTGCAGATTCTTTACCAGGTGGAGGAAAATAGCACACCATACCAACCCCCCCAAACCCCACACCCCATGCCCTTGCTGAGGATGAGTCAGTCTCTCGGCCAAGATCGCCCACGGCCCCGAGAGGACCAGGGGGTGCAGAGCAGGACGCGAAGAGGAAGGGGAGTTCTCCGACAGCAGCGACACAGCACACAAGACGGAGTTGTGCTTCCTGTGGACGATCCACACTTCTGAGCAAGGTGGAAAACGATCAGACAGGCGTGTAGATGGGAATTTTAATTAGGGCTCATGTGGGAAATGAAAAGACCAGAAAATATCTGGGGACCACCTAAGAGCCCTGGGGTAGCTCACAAACTGCGCAGAGACTTTTTAAAGGGCTTTAGATCCTATCTTGCTGTTGCCATTCCTATTGAATTCAGTCCTGAAATTTCAATGAATATTAAGTTCTTGCAAAGTGAAGTTTTTTTTAAATTAAAACGACATAAAAACAGCTTTCTCCCTTCCCCCTCTGTTTTTTTTTTCCAGACGGAGAGAAAACTGGGTTTTGTTTGTCTGTGTGTGTTTTTTTTTCCGGTTTTCCAAAAATACAACAGCTACGCACGATCACAGGCGAGCTGTAAGAACCGCTTGAAATCAAAGCCAGGAAACACCGAAGTCCCAGAAGAGTACGCGAGAGTCGTGCTGCTGGGAGTTCGAGTTTACCGCAACTGCTTAAACACGAAGGAAATGCTTTTTTTTAGATAAAAGCACATTCTTTTTCATTTTCTTCGGGGTGCTGGGTGGGGGACTATAACACCTTCCTCCTACGAACAGGCTTGTCACACTTGTGCAGCTTCACACCGGATGTCACACAGGAGCCGGATGAGAGTTCAACAGCTCCCCTGTTAACGCGGCGGGACTATCGACGAGGCGGACCAGCACTCAGACGGATCGCACATGGAGAGACGGCAACCTTGCTGCGAGGCCAGAGCCGGTCGCTGCCCGGGAAGGATCAGGACCTGTAAACCGGGCTCCGCAGCGAGGAAGTGGCCAGCCTGTTGTAGCGGAGCTGGTGTGGTGACGATAGCGCCCTCGCTGCGCGTAGCAGGGACCTCAGCTGCCTGGGCTGAGAGAGGTCTCCTTCAGCTGACACGGTTGGTGCCCTGTTGCGTTACGCCGGAGACCCGGGTTTGTGCCCCAGGTGTGGGGGACGGAACGGGTGGCGGGGGGCACGACCCCGTGCGGAACCGTGACTAGCACACTGTCTCAGTGGGACATGGGCTCCCTGGCTAAGCCTTTGACACAACGTCACGCCTCCTCAAGAGCTAACTGCGGTGCCTCAGTGCACATCAGCACTTTTTGCCTGGTCTACCATCGTTTTGTGGTTCACTACTACATATTTCTAGTCCCACGACATACATATTGTTCTTCTGTTATTATTTATTGTGTTTGTGATGTTAATCTGTCTACATTGTGTGGTGTTGTCTTCTGTTCTGTGTATGTCCCGATAGTGCGATAAACTACTCCACCCACCCTTCTCCTCCTCTTTCCTGCTCCCTTCCTCCTGTTATCACACCTGGAAGCCATGAGCGTTACCGACACATTGCAGAATTCCGGAGAGAGGTTCTGAGCATTCCCTGCTCCGGCACCTGAAGCCAGCAAGTTCTGGCCAGGAGTCTGCAAGGGCCTGTCATGGAGACCAATGTTTCATTCCAGGAGGACAAACCCCTCCTGGGATCCGGAGGCAGGATATTCCATTATCCAGAGGGGATGGGTGAGGATTCAGTATGGTTTTGCTAGTCAAGAAATATTTCAGTGTACTTGTGTACTTTCTTTCTTCTGAGGCAAGGGGAGGACTGCTTTGTGACACCATTAGAGCCAGGACAGCTCATAAGTCACACTCAGGGCAAGCCTTTGCTTGCAGACAGTCAGAACGCATCTATGCTCAAGATCTGAGCATTGCAATCCATCCATTTGAAGCTTATTGAGTACGGGACAGTTACAGCCTCCGACTGTGCAGTCTTCCTGCTTTACAGAGCTTGTTCTGCGACGAGGCCCCAGCCTGTGTATCTCTCTCACCTGTGTACCTCCCTCCTGCTACAAGCCCTCTGACCAGGGCTCCAGCTCTGATCTTGTACAAGAAAGAATTAAACATCATTCATGGAGCTTTAAAATGTTATTTCACGAACCAAGACAGGGGACCACCAACTGATGTTGTTGTCATCATTTAAACTGATAATGTCCCAGAGTGTCAAAGGGGTAATGTGAGCTGCAAATCTACTCTACAGGCACCTATACTTGTTATAGCGTGCTAATTGGTTTGATTGGGGAACTAAGAATGAGACAGAACTAAATCAAGTTCTCCTGTAACAGAATCTGGGTTTAAAACAACTCTGAAACATCAGACATCAGTGGTCTAAGCCATGTGGGCTGTAACGCACTGTACTCACAAATCACATATATGAGGCTGAGACAAGAAAATCTCGTTAACCTGCAAATATTTAGCATTCTGTATGCAGGACGTGACTTTGAAACTTCGTTCATGATCTGCAATCTGCTTTTAGGGAACAGACAACCCACAATGAAGGAAAAAACAGAACACACCTATAATGACTCACTACAAAATGTGCCCTATTTCTCAAAAGCTACAAGGTGCTTTGCTACAATGAGCGGATTAGCTGATGTCACTGGAAGCAGCTGCCATGTGTAAGTGCTTCCCTATTAACAATTAAATGCTCACTTTCTATGCACCCAAATGCTTCGGTCCGCCCATTAATCTTCATTTATTTCTGCTCACCTGTTTGGAAGTTTGCGAAGGGGAGCCTGGAATGGCATGATTGCATTCATTTGCAGTGATAAATGATTAACAACGATCATTCCTCCGAGGACACGTCACGCAATCGCGTCACGCAGGGCCACCTGGGAAGATGGACGCGCTCGTGCAGCGACAGGGGAATTGTGATGGTACTCCGCGAGCAAGAAACACATTTCAGTCTTCCACGCTGACAAATGAGCTACTAAAATGAGGTAGCGGATGTGATGCGACCCCTACTGTACCTCATCCTCAGATTATTATTATTATTATTATTATTTTTGCCCCTTAGAGAGGCAATCTGCTGCTCGCAACACAAATCCGAGAAATGCGGGAAAGACCAACCAGAATGGGGAACCACAGCAGAAGTCTGCGTTGGAGGAAATGCAGCATCGGAGACACAGTGGTATGCCGACCAGATCTGATCAGCCTCAGGTCAAGGGGAGAAAGGAGAAAACATGAGGCATGTGAACAGGGCAATTCATGAGAGATCCTGGGATCAATCTGCTACTAGAAACTAAAAATGATGAGGCCAAATGACCTCCTCTTGTTGGCCACTTTCCCCTACAGAGACCTAGTGCTGCGTGGGGGCACTGCTGCTGCATGGCTGCCTGGCATCACCTGGGTGGGAGTCTTCGGGATTAAATGGGTGAGATCAACGCAATAAACTGCACCGGAAGCAGAGGGAGCTCCTGGAAAGCTCTGGCCCAGCAGGGATGCACAAAGCGACACAGCGGAGGGTCGCGCGCGCACACACAGCGCCGTGCTCTGCGAGACAGCATTGAGGCTTGAATCCAATGAAGACTCGGCAGATCACAGGCACAGGAGCCCGGCGGGGTGGGCCGTTGGGTAAGCCCCAGGGAGGGGCCTGGTCTCCGGGCCCCCCCGCGGAGCCTCACCTGAGATGGAGCCCAGCAGGACGCTGCCCTTGATGCAACGGTAGACGTACTCGTAGCTCTGTGGCTTGAGGGGGGAGCCCGTGGACAGGATGGTGTGGAGAGTCTGCAGGTTATGGGTCTCCGCTGCGCACAAAAAAACAAACAAACAAGCAAATTCAGCGAGAGCCGATGAGGGTCTGCTCTCTGCCCGAAGAATGCCATGGGGTCTGCCTGGCCCACTGAGCAACCAGGTGTTTGGTGAAATGTCATCGGAAGGACGGGAACCCCCTGGCACGGTGCCCCCCGTCCCCATGCTGAAACATTTGCCAACCTTCTTCCTAAGGAGAAGGCAGCATGGTCCTCAGCCGTTCGCACTGCCCCCTGCTGGTGATGGAGGTGGGGGGTGGGAGGATTAGGATGGAGGTCACCTGTGCCTCTTTGGAGGTGAGGATTCAACCCTCTGATCAGACAGCAAAAGCAGCAAAAGCAAAGGGCTGTGCAAGAGACTGAGCCTTGCGGGGCTTTTCCTGTGTTAGTGTTCCTCGTTGCAGTGAAAGTCCCAGGGGGATTTCCCAACATTTATGCCTAAAGACATGGAACGCACATTAAACCAATCGCAAGGCTGATTTTGTGCTCCGGAGAGTGCTAGACTCAGATTACCTTATTGCCAATAAAGGCAATCTACATATTTACACAGAGGAGAAATGCAATTAGTTCTAAATTCATTTCCGCAAACATACGCGCAGATATCCCTGTTTGTTGATTCCTGGACCTCATTCAGCTCCTCAGATGGCATCGGCAGCGAAGAAGAGAGGAAAGAACAAAGATCTGAGTTTGTTTGGATCTATAATGGCGCTGTCTATGACAGCACGTAGCAGACAAATTCAAAAATGAACACTTCTTGGAAAACTGGTCCATCTTGTAACATATCTTTCGAAATACGTACAATCCAATTCAATATATATATATACTGTAAATATGCCAGAATAAGGCTTCTTAACACATAACCTATGTGGCAAAAATACTGGATAATCTCATCCAACATTAACAGAACCTTCTCCAGAAAAGAAATTAAGGTCTTAATGAAATGCTGATTTCAGCTGCTTCTTCAGATGGGATCTTTCTCAGCTGGGATCAGATTGGATTATTCTCAGATCTTTGTCACACTGCTCTTCTTTAATTTCGAGCCAACCAAGAGGTTTCTTAATTAAAATCCGTCCATGCACATGTCTAAGTATGAGTGGAAACATCCGATTTTTACATTCCTTTTTTTTTCCCTTTTTTTTTAGTTTGTTTCACCCCCACGGAAAAGGCGGTTTTGGCCCTTTTTTTTTAAAAAAAAGCGTTTGATCAAACAGAAAGCTACTCAAAAATATGTCACTGGTGAGTTAAGGGCAAAACTTCAGGGGAGCCAAGAGATGAACTTGTCTTTGTATCATTGATGGCTCCCTCTACAGCACAGTGTCCCCAGTCACCATACTGGGGTATTGGCTTGGACTGGGTCCAGGGGGAAGGGCGCCACCTACTGGTCTCCCAACGTCACTTATTACAGCAATCTGATTTTCCTTGGAGGTCTCCCATCCCAGTACTGCCGTACTTCAGGAATAAACTACAGGAATACCATGAGGACTTGCAGAAAACATCCACTAGAAGCATTTATCATGTTACATTGCTATGGCCCAGGGTGGTAAAGCACAGTGAAGGAATTTCACACCACAGAAAAAAGGAAACCTGGTACGAATAGGGCTATGTTTCCATTTACCAGAGTAAACTTCCAGAACGGATAAACCACGTCGCGAAAACGCTTGAATTTCACTCGACAGCAACAGACTCGGCGTATCCAGAGGAGTGAAATTGCTGTCGGCTGATTTCAGCCTTGGGGACAGGCAGACCACCAGAAGACAGACATTGGCAGCTGTGAGCATAAGCCCCCCCCCACCTACCTCCCTGCTTGAGCCCACACAGCAGCTGAAGGGACTGCATCTCTCAAGAGGAAGGACAAACCTACAGCCCGCTCACCTGGTTTCAGGTTCCTTTCTTCAAGCACAGATAACCACTTCGCCCCCGTCCCAAAAACTGTTATTCTGCAAGGAAAGAGAACGTAGATATTTCATTTTGAACAACCCCAAAAGAGAACAGTAGGCTACTCACTGATCAGAATACACAAGGCTGACACATAACCAATTATTAATCTACATATTATTATGTCTTTCAGGATATAATTTGATAGGAAAATGAGAAACTGGATTTCTTTTAGTATGGTATCTCTCTTTTTTAAAAAAAGAGTATAATTTGACACTAAATGTCGCTGTCTATGAGAATGATGTACTTTTCCATTACAATTTAGTTGTCAACTGTAATTTTTTTTTAATCAAATCACTCAGCTTGCTTAAATTACTTCAGACAAGGCCCGATCAATTACACCAACAAGCACACACGAGCTTTATTAGCAAGTTTAATTTTTCAAGGAAAAATCACCTTTTGCACTGTTGCAAACAAACACAATCCATCTTAATGGCAAAGTATACAGGCACCCTCTTCATGCATGACCTCCAGTGGTTTTGCAGAACTGAGCACAGTTCTACTGAAACCTCATTCTTTCCTTGGACTCACAGTTTTCAGCTGGTTCAGTGCCAACCAGCGCAAGGCTGAGACGAACCCAGATCAGAGATTACGAAGATGACCATCAACAGGCTGGAAATAGGCAACACATTGTCCCTGTTGCCAGTGAATTGCCTCAGTCCCACGCCATTCCTAGTCTGTGTTATAAAGGGTTTTAACACAATGCAAACTTCTCAGTTTAATACAGCCTCAGCCTACCCATTGTTGCAAAGACACAGCTCCAGTCCAAGCAGAAAGGTTGCCAGAACAGTCCCAGAGCTTCTGGTACTCTGCCATGCAACAAATCAGAACTTGCTAATGAAATCATGAAAACGCATTTCCTCAAATCCCAATGTTGAGATTCCTGGTCGAGATTCAAAACAGCAGACTGTCTTAGGCTTCTCAAACTCTAAGGAGAAAAGCACCAGCAGTATAATGAAAATAATCAGTTGCTAAATGCAATTTCCACCAATAACCTCATCAAGCCTTTAAGATATTTTTTCTTAACCAGCACCACGAAGCACCTGTCAGCTCTCCTAATTCCCGAACGGAGACAGATTTGCTCCCAGATAAACCTCTTTAGTTTGCAAATTGACAACACCAGCAGGTCAATTTGACAACAAACTGAAAACAAGCTGGGTTCAGAGGTCAACAGCTGGGTCACAGCTCTTCAGCAAAGGTAGGGCTCTGCTGAGACAGAAACATCCTGACCTCCCATCAAGATGTCAGCCTGAAATTAGACTTACACTGTTGGAACAAGGCCTACTTCTTATTCCAGGCAGGCTGTTAATGGATTCCCCACAAACAGCCTAGTCTGTGAAGATTTTATAAGACAGCATGCTTGTTCCAATCAGAGACAGTGGAGACCACGAGGCTCTTTGGCGAACAGGCAATAGATCTTTATTTTATAGAGTCGGGGACAGGCAGCAGCTGAGCTGGCTGAGAAGATGGAGCTTTATTACTTAATGGACCCTAAGCCGAAGAACCGAACTCACAATTAAAACCCCACAGGAGATTGAATTCTGATGCAGATTCTTTGCATGGGCTATTTCATGTAACGCAAAATTCCAACAGGTTTCAGAGCTAATAAACAGGGTCTCAAAATCAGGGTTCAGGTTTAACAGTGAACAGCCTGGCTGTGAAGTTACCCAGAAGTCCAGGAGTGGGATTGTCTGAATCCGCTTGAGCTCGTGGGTATAAGGCCCATCATCTGCTAAGACACTGGTCCTATGAACATCCTGTACACATCAGGTCTGCAGGGCCACGGGCGTCTGCGTCTGTCCTGGGCACCAGCTTGGCCAGGTCCTTCGCCCTGCCACTTCCTCACCGCTCAGCACACGCAAGGACAGACTGCGGCCGACTTCTTGTGCTCTCTCTGAGGCCGAAAGAGAGGCCCTTCGACCTGGACGGCGCCCGTCTCCAGACGCACTCCGTCCCAAACCCAGCTTTGTTATCAACGCCGTTCACGTTAAAGTCCATCGCCTTTGATGTCCGCAGCCGGAACATAATGATGCAGGTCGGGCTTTTCCCAGCGTGCGCGAGATCTTTCGAAAAAGAATCATCCTTTTTTCTGCCTTTCCCGGTACTTCGTTGCCTAGGCAACGTGTGATTTATAAGTGCCATTTTTCAGGTGCACTGAGCTCTTTGGCAAGCACCAACTCCTTTTACAGCTAACTGGCACAAAACTAAAACACAGACATCTTGAAATATTGCAACGACAGCGTCATAAAGCTCCACAAAGAGAGAAATGAAAAGCACATCAGGTTGATTCGCTTTCAGAGATGTTTTTTGTGAAATTTAATGGCAGCCCCATCTTAAGTGCTTCCTCTTTGTCTTCTTTATGCTCATTAAGTCCTGTGAGGTGCAGTATTTCATCCTGATGCTTCTTTAACGGTGAAAAGCAGACTAAATCTGCAAGGCGTTTTTCTCGGCCCACCACCTTTGTTAAATTCCTGTTTCGTGTGAAGATATTTGTGTTTTTGCCCCTCATAGCTTGAGTAACACAATTCCCTGTTCTGTCACAAAGCACCCCTGATCACTGCAGGTGTGCACAGAGGACCCTATCAAGCACACAGCCATTCTCAGGAAATGACCCAGGGTAAGAACACCAGAAGCTGCAAAGGTGTTTAAGGGGGGTAAAAATCTCTAGAAGGTGGAGTCTAGCACAGCACAGGAGACCGTGATGGTAGAGATGGTCTGAAAAGCATGAAACATGTACAGTATAATCATTGTCACACCATGGCCAAGACACCATCCATCGTTACCAAGCCAAGCTTTAAAACTTAATAAGAATTCCTTACATTTATACAGCTCTTTTCATCCCACAGGATCCTAAAGCATTTTTTACAGCCAGGAAGGGACCCAATTCATCCAATGCTCCCACCTGGGAGACGTACAGCAGCCCCACTGGACTGCAGATAGGAGGGGGAGGCCAGACTGCGCAGCCTAGCTCCGACTCTCCCAACGAGCCAGGGGAGAGCTTGATGACCAGCCCGGCAGGAATGTCGGAGAGGAAGAGAGACAGGGGTCAGAGGGAAGAAGTCAGATCAGAGGGACGGGAGTCAGATCGGGGGTGGATGGGAGGCAGATCAGAGGGACGGGAGTCAGCAATGAAAGAGCTGAAGAAGCTGATGGCCCAGAGCAGCACCTGCAGAGCAGGAACGAGCGCAACATGAAGCCGCTGGACACAGACACACCAGCCTGGCGTTTGTGACTTTTAAACGCATCAACCAGGTGGGGCTGCCCACTGCTGGTGGCAGAGGGGATCCCCACTACCTGTAAAGTGCTTTGAGTGGAGTGTCCAGAATAGCGCTATAGAAGTGTAAGCAATTATTATTACTCAAACTCTGGATGAGTACAGATCTTCAGCACGTGTCTTTCTCTGTTATGATACCCTGTATAACAGTGCTGAAGAATCATCATGCTTATCATTACAGTACACACACATGACGCGTTATTACGACACATTATACCTTCTCTCCTACCGTGTTCAGTGAGTCCTGCCAATTAGTTATGATCAGACCAACACTGCAAAAGCCACTGCATGTATTGTGAGGTCCTTAACAAGGTGTATAGAACAGCTTTCTACGTAACAGCACTAAACCCAGGTCCCACGTCTTTTTAGTTCTGTGTTTGGATTCCTAACGCATCCACTTCACACCAGTAATTTGCCTCTTCTGAAGCCTAAAGCCCACAGCTGCATAAACCTCAATAAAACGGGAGAAAAATCAATAGGGGGTCGAAGGGGATAACATTGGTCCACATCCCTATAAAACACCAGCGTAAAAGGTTAGAGCCATGCCGTTAAACATCACAACTGCCCCCCTCCGGCAAAGCACGCGATCTAGTGACTGCTGATGCCAAACTCTTGAAATCCGCCAGCGACCCGCCACCACTCAACCAAATGGCATTTATTCTCCCGGCCATCATCAGTAGGGTTTTGAAAAACATTCATTCAAAAAACGTCTTGGGCTCCAATGCTCCGAAAAAAACAAACAAAGCAAATGTACGCAGCCCGGCCAGTGGGGGGGTCAACGGTTCAGCAGGTTTTACAGTGGTCCGAGTAAGTAATGAATTAACGAACCAATCAATTAAGAGCACAGAATAAAGCACCACGGGACATTCAATGTACACTCCTGGACTACAGTCTGTGAATAATTCTGCCTTTTTCATCGACTGATTGTGAAAAGAAAAATGGTAGGCAGACACCTCCTATCCTTTTCATGGAATTCTTCAACAGGATCCAGTATTCAAGGGAAAAATAGTGCAAAGCACAGCAAAGTGCAGCAAAACGTTGGAAAAGCATGACACTAGGCACGGGAAACTACAGTAAAGTACAGCAAATTCATCACCGGAAACATCAATAAGCAAAGTGGCACACAAGCAGATACACACACAATGATAATAACAACGCAGCCGGCGAGACAGAATTGGTGTAATGAGTTACAAACACTGGCGAAAACTGAAATTAGTTCAAGACGGCCACAGAAATGAATACTGCAAGGGACACTTTGATGTTTTGAGTATTACAACAGGACAGGAACATTTAGGGTTGAAGCCAAGTGCCGTTTCCAGAGATGATAAGAAAACCAAAACGATGAATGGGAAATGGTCAGTATATTGAAATGCCCTGGTGTTTACCAGGGAAGACACGAACAGCATGGCTGGGGAAAGCTCTATATTAAACTATAGCAGCACAGAGGAGGAGGTGTCACAGGCACTAGGAGTCTCCAGGGACTGATGCTACGCTACCAATTGTACCTCCAGAAACAGAGAGATGCTGGCACAGGCTGTTAGCACAACTGGTCCACCTGTCTCTCAGGACCTTTACTGGAAAATCACCAGCACCCACCCATAAAAAGTTTAGACTCCTCCCCACTAATAGCTGGTGTGTGGGGAGCGTTCTGGCGCACTATGGCTGCCGTCGCATCATCCAGGTGGGGCTGCACACTGGTGGTGGTGGAGGGGATCCCCATTACCTGTA